AGGATTTGATTGCACTTTTTGAAAGTTTCAGGACTCAACAACACTTTCGTGATAAATTTTAGGATGTTCAATACACTTATCTCAAGTTTTTTCCATCGGTTTTCCCGCATTTTACACGCGACATCGTGGAGAACCAAAATAGCAACTTTCATTCTCAGTGTTTCCATCAGAATCACGAACCTGATCGGGTCGTGTTGATGTTATGGCACGAGATTGTCAAACTCCTGCAGAGGTGGAATGTTTTCAGCGGCAAAGAACACTAACTGAGGCACTCTCTTGGCCCCGGGATAGTAAAGGAGGGATTCGTCATGAACGTTGGGAGAGCAGCTGCAGGTGAAGAATCGCGTCGCACGCCCGTAGAATTCTCCATGTACGTCAAATTCACATTCCCCATTCATATATCACATGCATAATTCTGTGACCAGGCCTTTCATCTGCTTCCTTGTATTATAGGTAAACCCCATCCATGTTCTTGCATTGGCAGTCATATGCTGTTCTTTCTCTCATCTCCCAGAACACCCTCACAGATTTCTTTGCAGATATGCTGTTCTTCAGAGCAAGGTTACCTTGCTTGAGCTTCTGATCTTCTGCCTCCTTGTGCATCCAATTGACTCCTTGGCCAGTGTAGATCAGAAAATCCAAGTCATCTAGATCATCGTCGTGTTCTCCACATGACACAATACTAGTCGAAAGGATGATCTTTCCCCCCTTCATCAACGTAATCAGTACTGACCTGCATTTGGCGATGAAGGCCAATAGTTGCCAGCTCCACTCTGTAAATTGAACTCACCCTCCCCTTCAACTCCCAGTACAGGACCCAGTATATGTTCGCAGTGTTGATAAATATGCCTCATAAAAATTTTGGTGCTTGAAGATCAAGGCCTTTCTGTTCTATGGACTTTAGCTTCTCTTTCATGCAAGAGCTTCCCATACCAACTATGGAAAGTGCGCGATATCTCCTTCACTTGGCTTCTCCTACTTCTAGCATCAATAGCAGCACCCGAGGAGTCAAACTTTAAAGCTTCTGCAGGTTCAACTCTTCCCATCACTATCCGAAGCCCGCAGAGATGTCATTGCTGCTTCGTCCTCACTCACCCAAGTGTAAACTGTCAACTGCATTAGCCCATCTCCCCCTTTTCCCGACTGGGATTCTAAAGCATTTATTTGTGGAACAATTGCTGTGCAAGGTGATGTTGTTCAAATACGTGTGTTTGTATGTGCAAAATAAAGTAAAGTTGTTTGACAAACCTGAAATGAGTGATCCGAGTTTGACGATTGATCCGAGCCCAACGAATTCACGTTGTGTCCTTAAGACAATTTGTCCCCTCTACCGGTACCCAAAGGTTGTTGAACAATTGCCTCCCAGGATAGAACGGATCGCCTTTCCTATGAAGCGGTACTCCTTCAAAGGAAACCTTCGAACGCAACTTTGCAGAACAATCGCACAAAAAATGACAATGATGAAGAATGAGTGTGCAGCAGAATGCCATGAAAAAATGAATATGCGGAGAGACTACACCGAAATGTTCAATTCGGTTCAGTCTTAATATTCATGAAGAGTCACAAGACTTCGTTTGGTCATGTGCGAAAATAAAGAGATTCACGAGCGGTTCCCGTTCGGATAATGAACAGTAGCGAAGGCTCTCTTGAACCGGTTTTTGTTCGGAATGTAAACGTGTCTGTTCGAAAAAATAAAAAAAAATTGATAGAGAATGGACTCGAAACCGAACCGAGCCGGCCGGATGGCGGCGGTGCGCGCGGGGACCGACCTAGCTTGACGTAGGTCTTCTCTCTTCCACAAAAGTGGGGTACCCCTTGGGGCCCAAACCCATTTAAGAGGCTCCTCAAAATAAACCATCTCCCATCACCTCTTATATCCTATGTGGGACACTTTCATCCACACACTTCTCATTCAATTCTATGGGATTTGGGTGCCAAAATCCCAACAGGTGAGACATTAGACGCCTTGAGAGGTTGAGGCTCAGTTCCAACTTCAGAACTTCCCATGAACATGTAAACAGTCTTGGCTGCATCCTCCTCGTTCTGAATGCCGTCGATATTACTTGCATCAACTGCTGGTTCCAAAAAAATTTGTGGAGCAAAAGGCCCACATCCTGGCGGACAATCACAAACGGCGGAAACTTTCCGCCACTCAAACTCAGTTGTACCGACATCCCCGTCGCCATTTCCCACTGCTAATGATCCTGTTTTCCTTTCTGGAATATCCCCATCAACTGATGCAACAGTTCTCGGTTAACTAGTTCCAGCTTTCGCATTCAACCTAAAATTCAGTGTGACGTTCAAAACTAGGCAACAAAGAAGAAAGAAAGAGACTCTTAAGAGGAAAAGCGACTGAACAACCATGTGACTGGTAAGAAGAATGAAAACAGACGACGACAGAAAAACCCAAAATGAAGTCTGAAGTCAGAACTTTCTTGAGTGGAGCAAAACAAAGAATTCGCAATGAAATTCAATGGAAAGTACCGACACATCGAACCAAACAAAGAAGACAGTGGAGCAGTGGAAAGAAGATTGAACGAGGAGGAGAACGAAAATGCATATCGGACAGTGGCCGGAAAGGAAGCGATTGCCGTCTTGTTGAGAGGAACCATCGAGTCGAAAGCAAGGGATGTCATGGTGATGGCGTCCGCTGATCGGAGACGGAGAGTGAAGGCTTCGAAAGTTAATGCATGAGACAAAGAGAGAGCGTTTTTGCAGTTTGAAGCTTCGCGGCAAAATGAAATCGGTTGGAAGTTAGTTGGAGGAAGCCTAAGCTATCACTTATCAGTAGTGCATCATGTGTTGAGTATACGCATCTCAATTCATTTTGTATTTGAACTTCAAAAAAAATTGCTAGTTTTCAATTGATTTAATTTTTCCACATGTCATTGTCACGAAGTCGTCACCGTCAATGCACGATAAATCGAAGATGATCCAAAACACCAGGGCAATATGGGAATTGTATATCGTTCTAGAGTGTACTTTGTAATTAATGCGAATAATTGATAGATGAGAAGATAGAACCCCCACCTTTAAATTAAGAAGAGACCTAAAATTGTAATTAAGGGAATTTTATTATTTATTAGTAGATTAGATCCAAAAAATTTTCTCTTTTCTAAATGTTGAAATATATCATCATTTCCTATTCCTATACGAATTAAGAATTTTTTGATCATCTTTCTATGAGATTTGCTCTACTTTTCTTCTCCCGACACATTTGGCATGATGCTAGAAGTCATCAGTACGAGCCTAATTATCCCTAAAACCAATGCGCATTTTTCTATTTTGACTTACTCACCGCCGTGATCGAATGAGAATGGATAAGAGGCTCGTGGGATTGATGTGAGGGGGTAGGGATGGCTATATTTCTCGGAGCGAACTCTAGGCGAATATGAAGCGCATTTCATATAGGCCCAAGTCGTATATCCAATTGCTTCAATTTGAATTATCCGGAGGATTTCCTTCCAAATTAGTATTATTTCATAAGTAATTAAAAGTTCAAACCTTTTCTCTAACAGAAGAAAAGCTATCGCTACATGCATAAATTAATTTGGCAAAAAAGAAAAGCTACCATGTTTAACATGCATGAATATAGAACACGAAATCAAGAGCATTAGGGTGCGCATGGAATGCATTCGAATAAAAATTCTTCCTAATGCATTCTGAGCCGATTTTGCATTCCTAATAAAAATGCGTTTGTTAAAAATACTTGATTCCGAATGCATTTTTGATTCAATGAGTTTTGGCAAGAAAAGTTATAAGCTACTTTTTGTGTAGCTTCTTGATTCCGAATGCATTTTCCCTATTTTCTCACAAATTTTTTTTCGTAAAATGCATAAAAATTGAAAAATTCTAGAAAAATTCATAAAAATTTCCAGAAAATAAAAAGAGTCGATTTCGGGAAAATATGAAATTTGGTGAATTTTTTTAAAAATAAAAAATAAATAAAAAATTTCAAAACTTCACAGAATAGCTTAAAACACATGCCCACCCACTTTGAGTGAAATTTAAATTTTTGATAAAAAAATCAAAAATTTCAAAACTTCACAAAATGGCTTAAAATACATGCGTACCACCTACTTTGAGTGAAATTTAAATTTTTAAGGTGCACAAAAAAAAGAAAAATAAAAAAAAATAAAAATTCAAAACTTTACAAAATGGCTTAAAATATATGTGTGCCACTCACTTGAAATGAAATTTAAATTTTTTGAGGTGCCCAAAAAATAAAAAAAATAAAAATTTCAAAACTTCACGAATGGCTTGAATATCTGAGTAACCCATTTTGAGTAAAATTTAAATTTTTGAGGTCTTAAAAAAATTCAAAACTTCACAAAATGGCTTAGAATACCGCGCCACCTACTTTGAGTGAAATTTAAATTTTTTAGGTGCCCAAAAATATTTAAAAATCAAAAATTTCAAAACTTTACGAATGGCTTATAATACATGCCACACCCACTTTGAGTAAAATTTAAATTTTTTAGGTGCAAAAAAATCAACAAATCAAAACAGATTGCCCAAATCAATTTCTAGAGTAGAATTAGTCATATTTTACCAAATGCATTTCTCCTCCGTAAATCAATTTATTAGTAGAATTCCAAATCAATTTCTGGCAAATTTGATTTAAAACAGAATAACTTTCGCACCCTTATTACATTTGAAAATTGTAGCCCAAGCACCTTAGAAAGCGATTTACTGGTAATCGAGCATTAGCAAAATGTCATTATTGACTAAACTCTCATCCAATTCAAGGAAAACGGTCCAAACTATTCTAGCACCGATAATTTAGATAAATAAAAAACTCCGGGGTAAATCCTTTTGAAAATATAATTTCTGGGCCCTGTTTATTACAATCAACAAAAGGTATTTTTTTTTTCTCAATACTCCGATATTTGGCATGTTTCAAAAAGATAAGTTAATGCAAACTTTCTTTGATTTTCTATATAGGTAATGTCTTTTAACTATAATATTTTTATTTCCATTTTTGCATTTTGTCCTAAAAAGAAAAACGCCAAAAACCATTATTTTAATATCTGACCTAAAAACAGGAAAAAGGAAAGAGCGGGAACTTCGTCTGCACGGTTCAGTGCAACTTCCATCGACGCAGAAACCCTAGAAATCCAAATCCCCCATGCATCGTCGCTCGAATCCTCTGCTATTCTTCAATTCGTAGCGAAATCGAATCGAATCGGTCCCTCTAGCCATGCAAATCGATCCATTCGCGTCGATCGTCGAGCACTGTCTCGTCCCGCCCCCACAAGAACGGCTCCTGCGGAGCTGCCGCTTCGCCGGCGAGCCGGAACCGCCGGCGGCGGTCGTCGCCGGCGGCGGCGGCGGCGGCGATGGGGGGGTGGGGCCCCGGGAGGCCGGTGAGCCCGCGGTCGATCCCACGGGGGTTTTCATGGTCTCGCTGTCGGAGAGCGCGCGAAACGACGGGAGTAACCCTCAGGAGGACGTCTACCACACGCCGCCCGAGCATTCCGCGAGCGAAGGCGACGCGGCGGCTGTCGATTGGGGTTGCCCGGACGGCGGGAGGGCCGTCGATCTGGGGAGGGACACGGATGTGGGTTTCTCGGTGGAGCTGGAAATGACGCAGAGAGTTGATACTGAGTCTCACCTTGGCGTTTTGAACGGAGAAGCAGAAAAGACGGGAACACCTGCTTTCGGTGAGAGTTTGTGGGAGTCTCCGGCGAAGAGAATGAGATATTCAGGGAGTCCTGAAGTGGTGAAAGTTAAAACTAAAGAGATTTTGGGGGTATCATCAGCTTCGAGGGATCGCTCAATTGCTAATCCTGCCGAAAGTTTGAGAATTTTGGAGATAAAGTTGCGTTTGGAGGCTCCGGATGCTCCTTTAGGAGTAGTGACGGAGAAAATCAGGGAGAGCTTGGTGAAATCTGTGGAAAATTTGAAGAACTACGGGTTTAATTTACAGAGAGATGCTGAAATTTGCGAAGGGAGTTCGCGGAAAAGGAAGTTGAATTTGGGTGTCAAGTGTCTTAATGACGCAAGGATCATGGATTTGGAGGTTGAAGAAAGAGATGGCGGGTTGTTGTCCAGAGAGCACATGGTGAAGGATGATTCAGCAGTTAATGAAGTTGATAGAGGTACTGAGGGCACTGTGATCAATAAAGAAGTTCCTCCAATGGATAATGGACGAAGAATTGCTTGTGAAGAATCGGGACAGAAGATCGTGGAAAGACACAGCGGTTTATTTTCCAGAGAACACACACCGAAGGATAATTCAGCAATAAATGATGTCGATAGAGTTACTGAGGGCACAGTGCTTGGGAGCGAAGTTCCCCCAACTGATAATGGACAACGAGTTGCTTGCGACCAATTGGGTCAGAAGAGCATAGAAAGTTTATTGTCTGGACTGGACATGGTCAAGGGTAATTTAGCAGTTAATAAAGTCAGTAGAGGTACTGAGGGCTCAGTGATTGGTAGAGATGTTCCTGCAACTGTTAGTGGACAAAGAATTGCTTGCGAAGAAACGGGTCAGAAGAGCATAGAAAGAGACGGCGGTTTACCATCCGGAGAGGACACGGTCAAGGATAATTCTGCAGTTAACGAAGTTGCTAAAGGTTCCGAGGGCACAGTGATCGGTAGAGAATTTCCTGCAACTGATAGTGGACAAAGAGTTGCTTGCAAAGAATCGGGTGGGAAGAGCGTAGAGGACATTGAAAGTTTTAGATATACAGGTAAGACTTCTCATTTGCGTGACAAGGGCAAGAAAATTGCAGAAAATGAAAGAAACAGAATGAGGAATGGGGAAATGCATGGAACTGAAGTTTGCAACAACTGTGAAGGGCAGATATCTAGAAACACAAGTGCGGACGTCGAAAGTTTTCAGGGTGTTGGTGTAGATAATAATGCTGCTGGTTCTTCTCAGGATGCTCGAGGAGTGAGGAAATTGCCATCATCGATTCAGGGACAATCGAAAGAAAAGGATGCGGAGTTGCAACCACAGCTGCCTGCTTGTTTCCCTTCAACAGAGAAGGATGTGAATTTTTTGGATCTTTTGAATATGATCGTGGGAACTCATGGAGATCCTAGCCTTGAAAATATAAATATTGTGGATATTGTGAAGAGTTGTGGCGTTACTTTTCCCATACCACGGTGGTCACAAGAAGGGGAGAATAGAACAGAAGAAAAAGATCGAGGATGAATAGTTTGGATGGTAGTTTTGGGATTTTTGCACTGCTGTTCCATGGTGATTCGACTGTTTAGAGGACATTGGCTGTGGTCCGATGCAGTAGATTTGATCCAATGACTTTCTTTCGGCAAATAATTGATTTGAGGTCGAAGCTACTGTTTTGGGAACTAAATTGAACCTTCTGAACCTGGAAAGATGAAGATACAGATTGCTAGACCTGGGAATTTGATGCGAGTTAATCCGGTAGAATAGATGCTGCTCACAGGAACAACTTCTCTACAAGAGGACTGCCAGATTATGTATAGACAGCTTCTGTATGTATGGGTTTTTCTGTTTTCGCAAAAGAATGCAGAATGTATAGCGGCTTTGTCAATACAGAAAGTTCAGACTATTGAGATTATTGTGCTTTGAGCTTGACTTCGATACTCGTTGCCTCCTTTAAGGTGCTTTAAGCAACGGAATTAGTGTACTAGATACATTGCTGACATTTCATGTGCCCAACCTTGACATGCCCATCATAGAGAACTTGACCCTTAAGACTTAAGAGCATTGACAATTTCATCACCCATGAACCTGCAATCAGAAGGTGTTCAAGATCATGACAACCTCTGTAGCTGGTATTTGTTCCATCATAACGGTTGAGACATTGGCTTGTACTTTTTATTAATCATGGAAACATACTTTATAAAACTGAAAACCTCGCTTAGTTTCCATAGATATGTTGCTATAACACCACAGAAGTGTCCTCGTGGCAAATTTCTCGCTTGCTAAAAGAACAGTGATGAGATAACTCTAAAAAAAAGGGAGATGAAGGACCCTGGTGTTGATTTTGCAGTCAGCTATCCAAGAACCTGTAAACTCCCAACTTCTGAAAAGAAACCCGCGACTAAAGCCAATGATCATTCTGCTGCTTGGTTTTCTTCAATTAGCATGATGGTTAAGGCTAATAACTGAAAGATTGTGCAACAAAGTAACTGAGGTATAAAAGATATCCAGGAATTATCAGTCATCACCATTTGCATCCTGAGGTATACGCTGCCACCTATCATCTTTCCTATACAAAAGTGCACCTCTGTTCATCCCCTCAATATACCAAGTTAAAAGGAGATGGTGACGAAAAACAACCTTAAAACCTCATGAAAGATTTATCCTTTTGTTCAACAAGCATGACCAAAGAAGCCACTCTAGCCAAAAGGGTATCTATGTAAGGCCCTAATGCTTCAATGACGCCACATCATCAGGGATAAACAAGCTGTGGGTACAGTGAGCTACTGCTAGTGCTCGCCTGCTGGGAGACAAAGCTCATGGCCGGATGGAGGAGCTCTGCTTGCGGGAATGAGCTGTTCGATGGCACATCGAGCAGCAGATCCTGCTCAGAGTTATCATCAGCAACATGTAAAGAATCTAGCAAAAGAGCACCACCATCAGGAGGCACTGCGAATAGGCTTCTTGGACTGAAGCAAGATCCATCACTCTCTACGGTTTCCTTGTTTTTGGAGCTTCCTCCCACAATTAATCTTCTGGGGCTCTTCATTTTTGCATTTACTTCTGAAATACAGAAAATCTTGTGAGAATGCCAAACATCATATATCAATTTAGTAATTCAAGAAGCAGTGCTGATCAGTTTTCTCTGAGGTACAACAGGATAGTCACCTATAAGATCACAAGTTCTCATGGTTGATACATGTCTACGATTGGGCAAATACTTACAGAAATTGATACACAAGGATTAATTAATGGGGCATGATTCACATTCTACTGCCAAAGCTACTTCTGGATAAACTTTATGTCCTTGGGCTTCTGTTAGCTTATCATTCTACTGCCATTTGACAGTAATTTTTCCATTAGCTTCAGTTGAGTCCCTCTTCTTGCAGCACAACAATACTTCGGAAAACTAAAGCTTTCCAGTTCTGTGACAGAATTTGGAAGAACTAGGAAATTCCCTCTATCTAATTAAGCACACAAGTGCCAGAAGATGAGGAAAACCTGTATACTTCTGTTTCTGAATGTCATGTATTCCCTTTCCTTTGATTAAATTAGTAGATACAGTCTCATGACCTCCTTGAGAGCCAGGGTTTCCAGAACCACTCTTGAGTTTCTGCAGCAAGATCATAGTTAGCATGCTATTATTATGCACAATTTCCACATTTATGAGCAACAAAACGTAAGTTTCATCATACCTTGACTTGGTGGTAATGTTCAACCCATTTGTGCTTCATCGAGTTGGACAGCACGAGCCTCCTTAGAGTCCTGTAGTCTTCATCTTTTGCCACAGACAATGAGTTATCAAATAACCCTTCAGCCAGCAGATGCTGAAAAGAAGATAAGTTCTCAAGGAATGCAGCACCATCAAACATGCTTCTGAGGCTGCACGTGCAAGCAAAGACATGTTAATAAGAGCACCTGCATGAAAGAATGAAAGCCAGAAGCGATCACCTGTCACAAAAATTGTTGTGTCCTTGACTGCCCTTTAGCAATCACAATTCGACACATTCCATTGTTTGTGTTTCTTTTTCTTATGTTTTTGGCCAGATATCTTTGTGATACCTTAGCACAACAAAAAATTTACGGGAAACTGAGTGAGAAGAATGCTAACCTATCTGGAAAGTTTGCTCTATCAACCTGAGGCAGATATCTCAATAGCTGTTGTTGCTCTTCATAAGTCAAATGTCTGACAAACTGATCAAAGTTTAACACATCCTACACCAATCATAAGAAGACAGGATGAGCATATAATGAATGTGAATTTCTTCAAATAGAGTCAACCAATCTGCACAAAGGACCAAGATTAGGTTCATCATCTGTTCACCACCAAGCCAAAATGGATATGTAGCAACCTAAAGTTTAGGCCATCCGCTATCTATTCAGTAATATCCCGTGGTAGTTCTTCACAATGAGGATCTCATTACAAACCTGTGGAACATACGCGAGGTACTGCATCTATGATCCAAAGACGCGTAGTAACTTACGTAATGGGTTGGATATAATAGTCTGATGGATACAAGAAAGAGCTACAAAACTGTGCAAAAATTTCCATGGTGCTTCTATGAGAAAGCAGTATCATATCACTTACTCTAAGCTCGATAGAAAGTAGTGGAGAACTTCGAGTTCCTAACATGCGCAGCTTTTCATGCTGGGACTTGTCCCTGCAATGCAACAATAAACAAAATGTTAAGAATGGATCTTCACTTATTTTGTCCCCCTTCTAGACCATCTTTCACCTAACAGACAATTTTCTGGTACGGAGCATGCATTATTACATTACTTGTATGAAAGAAGCAGTACACAAAATTTAATGACTCCTACACTCCTTTATTTATTCCTAGAGAGATCAACTGCTCCTTGTGCCCGAAGGCTTTAAAATTTCTAAAAGTGAGTTTAACAAAGGATGCCAACAAAATCATCATTTGATCCTCCACTTTTATGATTGAAAATGAATTAAGTTACCTCTTGAGCTGCCCTTGTTCCTTCCCTTGCCCAAAAGGACTCTCTAAAGTCTGTGCTTTTGAACTTGGAAGATTTACACACTTGTTGTTATGTACAGGAATGGTCAGAGGATGAGAATGTACATCATTTACTTTCAACTGCTTGTTATCAACTGAAAGAGAGCTAGCTTCAGATTCTTCTTCTCGAGCTATTGAACTCGGATGTCTGATGAGGACCGATCCATGTCCAATCTCAACAGAAACCATTGGAGTTTCACTCTCTAAAAGCAAATCCTCTTCAGAAGATCCAGATAAACACGAAGACTGTTGTTCATGTAATATAGTGTATAGATCTCTGGTGAGCTTCTCAACTGCGGATGGCTTTGGACGATTCACACACGTCCTCTTCTTGGAAGGCACCAGCGAATCCCACACAACTGATTGAGCTGGACCTATTAAATTGAGTGGCACATATGATTAGTATCACTCAGCTAACTGAAGAGAGGTGTCAATCTTCATTCTCAATACTGCCCATTATTTGCATTACACAGAATAAAGACATCTATTCTATCTGTCAATCCTTTCACCGAGAATAAAAAGGACCTCGGTCCAATTGAATTTGAATTGCAACAAATTGAGCACAAGAGAAGGAGAAGACTAGCTTTCATTCGAAAGTTCAACCTGTCAAATCACTGGCATCTGCACTGCCAAACTGTGCACAGCTTTCAGAGTTTGAAAGAGCCGATCCAGAACTAGACCAGTTACTAGTATCATCATCTGCAAACTTATGGAAACTCTGGCTATATTCATGTGAATTTCCTCCTACAGTCATATTTTCGCTATCATACTTTCGCTTAAGCACCTTCACTTCCTTCTTTTTGTTCACGGACACGCTCTTTGTTCTGGCAACTCTGTGGTCTTCATAGTTTTCGGAATCGGCTCGAGAATGGAGAGGGGTATAATTGGCCAGTGTCCCTTTTGTCCTCCATCGAGAACCACAAGCATTACACAGTACTGGCTTCTCCGGAGGTCCATTTCGCCAAAGAGGTGTGCCTATTGCGACATTTAGATATCATGAGAACTCCAAAACAGTATATGTCCCCACAAAGAACAAGCGAATGCACAGTGCTAGTGTACTTGGAGGATTGTTGTTCGAGGACTGGAAATGCTTCTGTGTATACAAGATGATGAGAAGTGCCCAACAATTCAAATCGAACGAAATGAGACTTTTCATGTCAGTAATCATTAGCAAAGTGTTCAAGTGGAAAGTCGAAAGGGCAATAGTATCTGTCTATTCTACAATCATAATTCTGATGTCCACTCCAGATTACTTAAAAAGCACAATAACATTTAACATATACTAGGCAAAGCAAGAGTTGTCATTCAATGTGGCATGCAGTACCCTAAAACGTGATAAATGCTCTTATAGTGTGATTAAACACACAGGCAAGCAGAAGAGCGTGCAGAAATGGCCCTCATAGAGCATTATAGAGATTAATAATAGTGGATAGAACAAAAGAGCGACTCGAGATGCCTCCAACTTGAGCTCCATGGACTTTTCCGGGCAAATTGTCATAGCTCAAGAAAACCATAAATTAGCTGAATGAAACAAATATGTTCCCAGTATTCTGAAAGGGTGAATCTGCATTGACCCTACAAGCTTGTTGCTCAATGGGAGCTATGACAACTGAACCCACCGAGGTATCAAGAGAGAAGATTTGTACAAACTCCAGGAATAGGCTGTTTGAGAGGCACTTAATAGTATGATACAGGACGGATACATTGTGATGGTATCCCGAGTAGAGATTAACAAGGAATCAGTATTACATTGTCAGATAACTTCCAATAATATGGAGATCACCTCATTTGCTTGTCACAAATTCCAACCAATTAAATCAGGACACTATAATTATATCTTGATGGGGCTAAGAGTGAGGTTAGTGGCCACTTGCACAAGTTGAACAGGACGGAGCAAATGGCCCTTGGGCAAGACATCTTGGATTAAGTCATGGAGAGAATGAGTTAATCCGGAAGGCCCAGATCAAACATCAATAGAGAGTCCAAAGTGATTTTAGCAGAAAATTCTGTTTGAAGGTAAACTCATTAGGATTCAACTTTATTTCAGTTAATTAATAAGTGTACTGAGACTTCTGCAGATCCTCAACAACTTTGGGTTGGGTATTGCATCACTAATTGATCACACAATCTGCAACTGCTCATACCATTCAAGAGACCCGAATAAAATCATGGAAGTTTCAACAGATACACGGATTTAGATTAAGGAAATGGCATAGTCAAACTCAAATTAATGTAATCATCAAAATTTAACAACAACATCTGTTTCTTTTCCTCATTTGCCCAAATCATATCCAAACAGAACCGCACAAGCAACACCAAATATCAATCTGATAATGTCTGAACAAGGGTATGCTCTTTTTTTTCCCTTAACTATTTAGCTGATGTATCCATACAAACATACTTTTTGCATATGCAGAATCAAGACAAGAGCAACCCACTTTTTGTTTTCCCCCAAAGATATAATTAAGACACTAAAAATTGGAGAAACAAGAACTCACTTGTAACTCCACAGTGATAGCAAGGCCCCTGCTTAACCATCTCTCTCTCTATCTTAATCTCAACGAAAATCGAAAAATTCAAAGAAAACTCAAAAAAAAAACAGTAGCGAGACCAATTTATTGACAGAAAAATCGCAAAAAAAAAACTGATTAACCCTCCTCAGCCCCTTGTAACGCATATACAGCTCGAGCAATTCGGGGGGGGGTTGGTCAAAGCAAGAACATCCAAGCAGAAGAGAAAGAATTTGCAGAGGAGTGGAGAAGCCCAGAGAGAGAGAGAGAGAGAGAGAGAGAGAGGGTCCTGAAAGTTCCTTATGTATATTGGGTGTGGGGGGGTGCAGAAATTATAATCAAAACCCAAAGAAAAGCACCCAGGAGAGGAAGAAAAATAATGAGGAGGAAAGTCAAGGACGAGTGAAGGAGATTGAGATGTGCGTATAGAGAGCTGGGAATCCCCCGTATATAATTCAATGGTGAAGGAATCTAATTAATGGGTGTGGAAAAGGGGGGGTGAAATAGGAAGAAGAAAGAGAGAGAGAGAGTGGGGCGTTTCTCTATGTGTACATGGCCAATGGCCATCACCCTCTCCTTCCTTTCCCAATTCTTTTAAACATATATAATATATATAATATTAATACCACCATCATTTTGCTCTAAACTAATTTTTTAATCATTAAAAATCTCAAACCGGTAGGCCTACGATGAATTTATCCCAAATTAATTTTTTTTACTACCAAAAATCCTAAATCGGTATATTTGTGACAAATTTACCCTCCGTTGAATTGGATTGATATCACGAAAAACCACAAACCAATACACCTGTGACAAACGGAGGGTAAATCTCAAACTAGTACACCGCGTGTCGTTCAACTCAGAAATTTGACGGTAAAATTTAACGGAAACTGACAGAGGGTAAAATTGTCGTACGTGTACCGATTTGGAGTTTTTGGTGATTAAAAAAATTATTTTGGAGTAAATTCAATTTAGAGTTTTTCGTGGTATTAACCATGTTTTTTTCTCGAGCTTCTTTTGCCTTTTTCGTTTTCTTGATTTCTAGTGGGAAAATGACACAAACAATCCCTGAATTTTGACTCGATATGCAATTTGGTCCCTGAACTTTTAATTAGTTCAATGTAGTACTTGAACTTTGACCCAATGTTCAATGTGGTCCCTAAAATTTCAATTTGTTCAATGTGGTCTCTGAACTTTTGGTATATGTTTAATATAGTTCATGGATTATATTGTACATTTTCATATAGTTCATGGACTATATTGAACATGTACCAAAAGTTCAGGGATGATATTGAACAAATTAAAAGTTTAGGGACCACATTGAATATTGGGTCAAAGTTGAGGGACTATATTGAACAAATTAAAAGTTCAGGGACCAAATTGCACATTGAACCAAAATTCATAGATTGTTTGTGTCATTATCCCATTTGTAATTTGAGTTAAGATAGGGGAAAGAAAACCCCAAAAAGTTTGAGCGGATGGGATTTAATTAACTTGCCCACCGAATCCATTTGAATGTAAACCCGACGGACCGATACTAGATAAGTGCGATCGAATCGTGCACGGGGGTAATCCGATATGGCTTTTATCGGGTACCGACTACAATCAGATTGCGAACATTACTCTTTCGTTACATTTTCACGCCTGTCGTAGGGACGTGACTTGCGGTAATCACAGACGATGGATGCGGTGAAATTCAGTGGCGGAGCAACGGGAAAGTAAAAAAACAAAGAAAAGTGCCATGTGTTAGTTGGCTCTTTCGTGTCTCTAAATCTCTCTTTTAAGGAAAAGTGAGCGACTTTCTAATTCGTATGACACCACGCAATCTCGACATATATCGAATCAGATCGCTCGATCAAATTGACTAAGGTAATAAAAAATAACAATTGGGCATGGTTTAATTTTTGCCTTTTTTTCTAGTGTCGTTTTTTTTTCATTGGTCGTGCTCTCTCATCAAATCCGTGAACCTTAGCGCCTAAGCATACTAACAGGTCAAAGGGTAATTCGGTAAAGAAAAAATATTCGAAAGAAAAGAATGTAGATTTGGACTATTATTTATTATTTACTTTTCTTCTTCTTCTTGCTGTGGATTATTCTGAACACGTTTTGCAGAAAAATTTGTTAATCTAAAAGAAAATGTTTACAGAAAGAGGAACTCTTATTTTGTCCCGGGATATTACCAACAAAAACCACGAACTGGTACACCTGTGATAAATTTTACCCAAAACTAATTTTTTGATCACCAAAAACCCCATACCGGTACATTTGTGACGAATTTACCCTCCGTTAGTTTCCGTTAAATGAGATTGATACCACGAAAAATTACAAATAGGTACACTTATGACAAACGGAGGGTAATACTTGAAACTTGTACACCCGTCAATTGTCACGTGTCATCAAACTTAGCAATTTGATTGTAAAATTTAAGAGAAAGAAGAATGTCATATTCAAATTGTGTTGATTTCGTTTTCATGGATTTTTCTAGTAACCTTTATTATGCGATAATGTATTATATGAATATATTAAAATGTATAAATTTTCGGTATATTTCTTTATTGGTACAAGACGGGAACGAGCAACCAATCCTAGCAACCTCTTTAGACGTTAGCGTCTCACGGCTCATTACTGAATGTTCCGTTTGAATCATAGTTTATTTGAATCACCCGCAACCCAAAAGGTTGAAAATTGTCAAGTCCGTCGCTGTAAGTAAGATGTCACGAAATCCATCAAAATAAGACATATCGTAATGTGAATCGAACCAATGATCTCACGAAAACCGGGCAATCCCTTGATCGCTCCACCAAACTATCTCGGTGGTGTTTAGACCTCCTCCCATACGACTTTCTCAACAATGGCATACCAAAAGAATATTATTATAAGGGCAAGAAGAGGGACACAGGACAAGCAAGACCCGTTATACATAGTGGGGGTATCTCGTGGATTTGACCAATACACGCCACGTGGCACGTCGACGGCTTCCCACCTCGTGAGAAAAATAAATTTTGGTCCAACCCTCATCTTCTTGTAAAGGGACTTTTACTTGGGCCCATAATTTGGTATCTCGTTTTGATAATATGAAATTATACGAGTTTCCAACACCTCGATAAGGCTGGGATATGCCTCCTTCAACGATATTTGCACCATATCTTTTTTTTTTCCTTTTTTTTTTCGTGGGGGCATCAGTATTTTCACAATATTAAAAAGTCGAAATTTTCGCGACGGTCATGAAACCATAATGATGACATCTATAAAAGAGCAGCTACGCTAGTCCCTTTCCCGGCTTTTCGATTGAAAGGGATAATTGCACAAAATGTCCCTAAATGTTGGCTCGATGTATAATATGGTCCTTGAACTTTAGTTTGGTCGGATGTGCAATGAGATCCCGGAACTTTTAATTTGTGTATCCTTGAAACTTATGATAAACGTTCAATCTAATATTTGGATTATCATATCCCTATTATCGATCCAGTTACAAGATTATCTAATCCATGGACTAGATTGAACACGTACTAAAAGTTCATAGACCACATAAAATAAATTAAAAATTCGGGGACGACATTGCACATTAAACTAAAATTCAGGATCCACATTGAACGAATTAAAAGTCAAAAGACCACATTGCACATCGAGCCAAAATTCAAGGACCATTTGCATCGTTTTCCCAAGACGAAAAGATGGTTCTGTCCAAAGTAAGTAAGAGCCTATTGTTCCCCCCAACTCATATCTAAACGAAATTCGAACAAATTAAAAACTTGGGAATCACATTGCATATAGACCCAAAATTCGGGGACCGTTCCGTTTTCTCTCCAAGTTATGCAAGAACCTATCGTTGACCCCCCCAATTCACATCTCAATCGAAATTGATAAAGTTAAGCATTTTGGAAGGTGAGGATGTAATTGGCTTTTTCTTGGGGTTCGATGCCGTGCACCAAAGGTTGGCAAGTTTGACCAAACTGGGTCGTGGGCGTGGCCAGTGGACATGCCTCCTCTCTCTCTCCTCACCCTCAGCGCGTCATTCTCCAGCGTCGTCATGTACAGCACGAATCACATAATGTCGAGATCTACTAAAAGTAAAGCTATTGGCGGGGAAAAGTTCCCACCCCATTGAAGACCCAGTCACAAAAAAAACAAAAGAAATACATATTATTAGTAAAAAAATAAATGATTCAAACACTATTTTCTGAAAATGATCGCTTGTATCACATAAAATAATTAACCAATTCACTTTCGATGCTAATTTATGTTTAAACACTTCTGTCGATGACGAAAATACTGTTCTTTCTTTGAATTTTGGGAGCGATGCAAGCAATCGTTTTAAGGAAAACATGGTGCATTGATTTCGCGGAAACTGAATGATATGGAAATTATTTTTCCCTCAAAATAATGATTAAGATCATTTGAAATAATTAGTCAATAAAAAATATTTTCATTATAGATAATTTATCTCTTTAAATTCTTGCCGATGATGAAAATATTTTTAGTTCGTTTATTTTTGTAAACGATAGGAACTATCATTTTTAGGAAAACGTTTTTCAAATCTTGTATTTTCCACGAAATAAACGCATCCAGATTGTTCTATTTCTCTAGATTAAATTGCTTATTAAAATAACATAAACATCAATTGGGCATGACCGAAAATTGGTACGGCGTTAACTCATGAAAGTTCTTGGCATTGGGATGTCGAAATAATGTTCAACCGAGAGGATTGCAGGCGAAGTTGAACTTTACAATTGTCCTTTTTGAATGAAATAAAGAAGAGTGTATAAGTCAAGTCCATACTTTTACGGACATATCCTCGCAGTAAGTTCGTGAAATATGAAAATCAATCACCAAAAAAATGTCATCCCAATCTCATTGCTCGGCTTTCGACTAAAAAAAAAATCTCATTGCTCGACCATACTAAGCCTCTCATTTTTCTATATTTAGAGCAAATATATTCACGTGAAAATGATACAAATTGAGAGTACAACGGGTTAAAAAACACGTAATTCATGTCGCGATTGCTAATTTAGCAGAGAGACTCGTATTCCATCCTAATATACGGAATTTCCCACAAATCATTTAACCTATGATTTGAAACAAAAAATGGTCTGGCTGGCTACTGACCGGCCAGGTTAGGCCGGGAAAAGAGGTATTCCTGCTTTTCAATTTTTATTTCCAAAGTACCTCTATCGAACCTTTTCTTTATGTATGTGGGATTGCTTATACTTTAGTTTACCGAAGACATCGACATATTATACATTTCAACTCGGTACAAACAAAATAATTTTTCTAAAAATTAAAAGTAATCAGAAATATTGTGAAAATTCCATATTATATATACATTCTTACATATATATATTATAATTGGGAGAACCCAAGTACTGACTTTCGGATCCGGGATCCAATTTATAGACGTTTGAATATTGAATCATGAGCAAAGCACTGACCATACCATTAGGATCTCTCTTTGCACTTTTGGTTTATTTTTTATTCTATTTTCTTAACAATTTATCTAGTCACTTCAAATTCCAATCCAGCCCACGTTCGAATTCTCTTATTGTTCATGACGAAACCCATCTGGATGGGTAAATCCCCCGATTCTAGTCCAGTTGAACGAAGGAAATTGTCCAAAAAGTTTTAAATTTATTGTACGGGGGTCGCTAATCCAATTATAAATTGTTCAATTGTGTCAATTTAGTTACACATATTTTAATAATTTGTCAATTTAGTCCTAAACATTAAAACTGTGTCAATTTAGTTTGAAACATTTTGAAGAATTGCCAATTTAGTCCCAAACATTTTTTATAATTTGTCAATTCAGTCATTTCGGTCAATTTTGGTCGATGGCCGGCGGCCGGCCGGGGTCCACTTCAACGATTTTCTACCATAATTGTCCGAAAGAACTAAGTTGGCATATCATCAAAAGATCTAGAACTAAATTGGCAATTTTTCTAAAGGTTTAGGAATAAATTCACATAATCAAAAAATTTAAGATTGAATTAGTCGCCGGCCGAATAGCAGGGCCAGGACCTTTCGGATAATTATTCCCGTCAAAGAGAGTATACTCTTTTAGGGTTTTACCTAATATATATTCTGTTCAACAGATAAACTCTAAGATTTGGTGCTGTCTCCTCTTTTGCGCTGATAAGCCTCATGATTCTCGAACAGATAATCTCTAATTAATCTTACAACCGATCCGGTGATTACAGTTGAGACTTATCGTTCAAGCATTCCTACGAAAACACGACAATCTCCTATGCAATATATACCTACATATTATATAGATAGATATAAAGAAGCGTATATTTGCAAATATTCATTAAGTTAATCGTTCTCTGCTTGCTAAAACCTCCGCTGACACTGCTGCTGCTGCTGCTGCTTCCCTTTGAGATCATCATCCTCTCCAAATCAGAAAAGAAGAAAAGAGGTTCTCTCGTGCTGCGAAAATCCGCGGAGATGGACGGGGACGTGCTCATCGACTACGCAGTGAGCCAACGGAGAACCGCACAAGATGGTGGCAGTAGCTCCGATGGTCCTGGCAATGGCGTCTGGTTCTCGCTGCACTTCGAGCTTCAACTAATTACTCGAAGCCCCGTCTACACCATCGAAGATGCGGGCGATGTCGCTTTTGACGAGTACGATCGTCATTCCATCCAGACAACCGTCGATGGACTCCTCAGCTCCCAGCTTCTAGATGTGGATTCCGAGGTAATAAGAGTACGTTAAATTCAATCTAGTAACACTTGACCGTACTGAACACGTCGCGGGTTTGAGATTCCATGTTCTTTAGTAACCCGTTAAAAAACTTCCGAGATAGGAAGCTGTTTGTGCAATCACCGAGATAATCCGGACACAAACGACCTTTGTATCTTCGCATTAGGTTGAACAGTCTGTAGCACAACCTTTGAATCGACATGAATTTCTCGTACCATGCACGCACAGGTAATATCGCTTGCTTTGTTGAGCATTGGAGTGCCGAATGACTGCCAAGTGCCTATCATCGACGGGATACGCGAGAAGGCTAATTTCATGTACAACGATCCTACCAATGCCGGGCATAACCTCCTACACATGGAAGTGTCGATCCGTATGGACGCCATTGAGACAAGAACGACCCCACTTCCAGACATCGAAATCGAACGGGTCAATCTAGCTACGACAGAATCGTTGATAGAAGCATTAGAGAGGGTCACAATAGACTCCGAAGCATCGACGAGCCAATGTGCCATCTGCATGGAGGAGATTCTGCAAGGGACGCAAGCCAACAGGATGCCTTGCTCACACATTTATCACGAGGGATGCATCAGAGAGTGGCTAGGCGGGAGCCATACCTGCCCGTTGTGCCGATTTCCCATGCCCTCGACGAATACAAGGTCGAACCAACATTGAATTTCACTTGAATCTCCCCATCTAACTTCTTGAGATGGGGATTTATATGTTGGTACAGTTTGCTTAAATCTAGTGAACAAGATTTCTCGGTTTATTGTCTGCTTGCGGTCTGCTTGCGGCGATTATCCACGTAATGTGATAGAGACAAGATGTTAGCTCAGCCCATCTTAATGCATACAATGGAATAGAACCGGTCACACACTTCTCTGGCCAACTCAATAATTGGCGACATAGGAATTATGATGTAGATAGATTCCACTTGAGAAATAAAACAGATTAATAGTAGAAAGTCATCTAGAAACAACAGTATTATAAAATTTACTTGGACAAAACCCTAAACAGACATCTAGAGTGAGTAGAAGATTAGAAGTACTTCTACAAATAAAGGGTAAGAGCCAAACAATACTATCTCATATGCAACGGATAGACCGAGCAAAGTATAGGATCATAGTCGAGACTAGAACCCTGTTTCTCACTTGGGCAGGCAGAATCTCAATGCAGGAATCTCGCACACCTCATTCATTGCAAGTTAAACTTGCATATTTATTCATTCACCTTAGACTTATCAGTAAGCAGTAGAAAATGTGCGACGACATGCCAAAACAGATTAAAAAAGACTTGCGGGGCACGACACCGAAGAACAAGGTCAGATTGTGATTGTATATACAAAAAGGGGGGGAAAACACGACACCCACGCAGAAACTATCAAACATCGTTCAGTCCAAATTTTCATAGAAGAAAGCACGGAGTACGAGATGGATCTTCGCCACGATCAGCCCACGACCACTTCAGTTTCTCTTCTTCTTCTTCTTCTCATTCTTCTCAGCAGAGTTCTTTAACTGCACAAACCAAATTATCATGACCAAGAGTTTAACTTCAAAGGACTCAGGAGAACATCACATCTCTTCACCTGATTGATTGAGGAAAACTAAACAAGCCTTCATTTTCATTACTTACCATGACGATAAGGATTCGGACAAAAACAGCCACAAAATCAGTGAAGAGGTTTAACGCGTGCCTCACATAGTCCATATCACCATGGTGTGCTTGCTCGATTATCTCTTGAGTGTCCACTACCACATAGCCAATGAACACTAAAAGCCCAAAGTATATCTGCAATATTGAAGAGATCAATTAGCCGTCTATGCACGATTCAGAAAAATGGAGAACAGGACCATGCCATTGCTCACCTCAAACTTAAAGATGGCTGCAGATCCACCAAAGATAGCAGAGGCAAATTGCAACCACATGAGCATGGAAAGTCCAGAAGAAAGCAAGCCACCAAGATATAGGTACTCCCTCCTCCTAGCCAACATGGCTGCGCCTGAGAAACAAGCGAAGGCCACCGCAGATCCCACAAATGCACTTATCAGAATGCTGCACCAAGACACAGAATACTAGTCAGGGCACATGCAAAAGTAGTTTATACAAGCGGTGCCATGGGAGCACATAAAATTCGATGCATCAGCACTAAGAAGAGTCGACAGTTGCAAGGAAGAAAAGAGATGAGATATATACCTCGGGTCAATTCTGATGGCCGTTTCGATGAGAGGACCAACACATGCTCCTTCAAAGAGAGATGCCGCCATGAGCAGGCCAAACCTCTTTTGCTGTTCGCCAGAAGATACAAAAACGATTCAATTCTCAAATTCTCACAAATTGCCATTCCCATAGTAACAAGAGGTCAAAAGAAGTAATTAGATACCACATATCACCTAACATATCACTTTTGAGCGTACCTCTTCATATGGAGGAGTAGAAAGTAGCCATACAATGCTTCCGATGCAAGCAAATGTCGTGAGAAGCCCGCCAATGTTCAACAACAGATGCAGGTAAGCACCAGTAGCCGAAGCGATCAAGGCACAACATAAGGACAGATAAACCTGACAATTTGCAACGCATATGAGACATACGTCATCATCATGTTACTAAATAAAATCAACTGAAAGAAGAAAGCCGCCATAGATGGTTTTCGCTCAAGAATTCAATAGGCCAAAGGGTACACAATCCCTCAAAGCAAATAGATCAAATACGTTCCAAAAGCGGGCCGGGTCCAACAACTGATCATCTAAAACATAACTAGTCGACGGACATGTCTCCCTGGGACAAAGAAGTCCACAAATTTGCCTCCTAAGTTTCCAGAAATGTTAGAAAAAGCAAACTCATCCCACTGTTCACCGCATTAATTTCGGCTAATGCCCACCGCCAAAAAAACCCAGAAGATCAATTCAACTCAGAGAATCAATCAAGCTAAAGAGTCTCTGCAGCCAATTAACTATCTCTAACAATCCGATCGGCAGCAAAATCTCCAGCAATCTCATACACCGACCCGACAAAACCCTAGCTTCCTCCGGAGGAGGTCAGCAACAACGGGACCCCATCCCTCGGAGCAAAACCACCGCAAACGAACACCAAAACAAGCGATTTGCACACCGTTAGACACAGGACGAAGCAGAGATTACGGCAAGGAAAACCTCACCCGCTTGAGGTGAGACTGGACGGCGGGCGATATCTGGCGGAAGTTGTTGAGGGAATCGTAGCTCCAACCCTTGCGGTTGCTCGATTGGAAGAAGGAACCGAACGCGTCCATGGCGAATTCGATGCTTGCGAGGAGGATCGAGAGCGAGAGAGACGAACTTTTGCAGGCGTGATCGAGAAGGTCTTCAACCAAAACTGTGTGGATCGAATTGGGGGCTCGCGGTTTTGGTTTTATACGCGGATTTCAATTTCTTTTGGGGTAGGAGCTAGAGGGTTCGGGACTTTTCGGGTCCGAATTACGCTTATGCCCTTCGGGGTCTCGGGGCCGGGTTGAGCTTGACCCGGATCCGATTGACCGTGTGAGCGGTAAGTGATAGAGTTCAATTTGGCTTTCGCATTGTTTGGTTGGTCATTGAGTTTCAATTAAAATAAAGGAATAAGTGCATTCAAAGTCCTAAAACTTATCGTGAAAGTGCAATTGAGTCCTAAAACTTTCATAATGTGTAATTAAGTCCTAAAACTTGTTGGGAAAGTGCAATTGAGTCCTAAAACTTTCAAAAAGTGCAAACAAGTCTTAAAACTTATCGCGAAAGTGCAAACAAGTCCTAAAACTTGCAAATTGGTTCAATCAAGTCTTTTCATTGATTGCACTTTTTGAAAGTTTTAAGACTTGATTGCACATTTGTGATAAGTTTTAGGACTTGATTGCACTTTCGTGATAAGTGTTAGGACTTGATTGTACTTTTTAAAAGTTTTATAACTTGATTACATTTTCGTGACAATTTTTAGGACTTGATCGCATTTTTTGAAAGTTTTAGGATTCAACTGCACTTTCCTAACAAGTTTTAGGACTTCTAGTGCACTTATCCTTGAAATAAAAGAGAAGCTTAGTCCGCAATTTTCAACCGCATAAAAAAAAGCAATGTGATTAGTCTTTGCAAAATTAAATACGTAAAAAAGAGTGTAAGAAAAGTTCATCACGGTACATTAGGACAGTCCACGTTTAAATGGGCCCGAGTTCTTTACATTGATTTTTAGATTAACATTTTCAATGGATAATCTTTGCAAAATATGGTTCACGTTAAATGTTATTAGTCTTTGCAAACTTAAATACATAAAATTACAAATGTAGGCACTTTTTATGAATATAATATTCGTAAAATAAACGAAATATCTATCAATATTATATAAAAGTAGGAGGTGGTCTTTTGTTTTATATGATAGAATAGTTAGTGTAGAAAATAAACAATTGATATAGTGACAATTTAATAAGACTCGGTACAATAACGAGATTGGGAAAGAGAAAAGAAAAACCCAACTATTCGCTTCTTGAAGAGACTTATCACAAAATGAAAAAAAAAAGTAATTTGTGTACCTGCCTCACTTAGCCAAATAAATTCATCTTTTTTAGACTGCAAACATGTTATGGAAAAAACTTTCATGGTGTACGGTGTCAATAACGAAGAAATAAATAGATGATGATTTCGTGATGATTAAATCGAGATACCAAACAGCGAGAAACTCGACAATTTCATAAAATTATTGGGATACTTTAGGGTTAATATGTTCCAATTTAAGTACACTGAATTTATTTTTTTTTGGGGGTGGGGGATGGCAACCGTCCAGTCGGTGTAGTTGACCCAACTAGTTGAACCCGATTTGCGAATACGGGTCAAGAATGACCGAATGGAAAGCTCCAGATAATCAGGGGGCATAAAGGGAAATAGGGAACTGCAGAAACCTGGAAATTTCGTGGTGATGACTTTATTGTTTATGTTGACAGGAACTATCGAACGAAACGGCTTGCCTCCTTCGCGTCGCTTTTCGCATCGCTTTCTTGCTAAGTAAAACCCAGGAAATATCGGGGTCGATAACTCTTGATTACGTGGAAATGTCACGTCAACTTGACCAGTGAAAAGTCGCCACGTCATTTCTTCTTTGTTTCGTTGCATGTTACGAATCGGACCATGTGTCATGGACTTCAACTTACTAAACCTCCTTTTGTTTCGTGAAAAACACGTGACATTCAGAAAATCAATATTGAAAAAAATGTCAATATTTTTCATTGTTTGGGAAACCTGAAAATGAAATTGAAATTCTTTTTCATTTTTTGGTATGAAAAATCTGATTTGATTTTCCTCTGTGTGCTACTTTAATAATTTTTTCATTTTTTTCTTTTCTCCTTTTAATTCGAATATTTAATTTTCTTTTTCGTATTTCTTCTTCTTGGCCAGTCGCCGGACACCGCGACGGCTAGTGTCTGGCCTTAGGTGAGCTCAAGCCTCGCCAAATCGACGAGCTTCGAGCTTGCCGGCCTGTGGCAAGGCTTGAGTTCGCCTGTGGCCGATCGTTGGCTTTCGACGTGGCCGGTGATCGGCCAAAAAAGAAGGAAAAATTTAAAAAAAATAATTAAAAGGAGTGCATGGAAGAGAACGTGCTTGATCTAGGTGAAAGAAAGAGAGAGGAAAATGATTTCCTCTTTCTCACTTTTGAAGATGTTTTTTTCACTTACGGAAAATGTTTAGCCTAACTCCGGTTAACAAGATATATTTTGGGTTGGGTGCATTTGACTCGAGTTTCCTTCTGATCGAGCTCTATAATTAAACTTTTTTGAGTCCACCCACATTGATTTTTTGGGCTGGTCCAAAACCATGTAGATGTGTTATCACAACACCCGCATTAATATATTTGAAGCAACTAGTTGCTAGTAAGATTTTTGAACTCTTTTCCTTAGTAGTTATTTTGGGATAAGTTATGGAAAGAGAAATCACATCGATCTTGCATGATTGATAGGAAGTAGAGGTGACAAAATGCGTCTAAAATCCATATGTTAACTCATATTTAATGGTGTGGGTTCTAAATGTGTTGCCTTAAATTTTAAAAAAAGTTTAAGCGAGTTGTAAATGGGTGATAAATGGATTTTAAATGGGTCATAAATGCATTATCTAAAAAGCTTAAGTGAATCATAAATAGTTGATTTTTAATTTTTTGATTTTCTGATTTTTTAATCTTTTAAATTTTCTGACTTTTTTAGTTTTTAATTTATTTTTTTTTTTCATTTTTTCTACAAAATCCCGCGAGGGTTGTTGGCCATCGCGGCCCTCACCCGACGTAGAAGAAAGAAAGAAAATAAAAAGAAAATAAAAAATTATAAAAATTATCTACTATATTCATATTGCATGGAAGTCTTTTAGCAATATAATCTTTTTTTTAAAATCATAAGAAATAAAAAAAAAATTATATTGGGTTAAATATGAATTAGCAATATGAGTCGATCGGATCGGGTATAGATCGAGAAATTTGCACTGCGAATAAATGGGTCATAAACGGTTTAATGGATCAATTGGGTTGATCATTTATGACTCAACCCGATCCACCCGTTTGAAATATCTATAAGGAGGGCACTTTGCAATTATCTCGTATTTCCATAACGACTTATTTAGGGAAAAAAAATCCAAGTAGTGTTATATTTTAGGGTTAATATCACGAAAAACCCTAAACTGATACAACTATGACAAATTTATCCCAAACAAATATTTTGACCACCAAAAATCCGAAACTGGTGCACCTATGGCAACTTTATTCCAAACTAATTTTTTAATCACCAAAAACCCAAACCGGTGCATTTGTGACAAATTAACCCTCTATTAATTTCTGTTAAACTGGATTAATATCACAAAAAATCATAAACTGGTACACATGTGACAAACATATGGTAAAATCCTAAACCGGTGCACCTAACAACTGCTAAGAGTTATATAACTTAGCAATTTGATGGTAAAATTTAACAGAAACTAATGAGGGGTAAATTTGTCATAGGAGTATCAGTTTGAGATTTTTCGTGGTCAAAAAATTAGTTTGGGATAAATTTGTCACAGATGTACCAGTTTGGAGTTTTTCGTTATATTAACTGTCATATTTTACCATACATGCGCAAGTTTGTAACAAAGGAAGAAGATCCAAACAATAAGAAGAAAAAGAAGTTAATTCTTTTCCATATTTGATTTGTGTTTAATTATGACCTTAAGATTTCATACCTTAGCCAAATCCGGAGCTACATTGTATTACCTTCCTAATTATCAAGTATACACTCCACCATAAATACCCAGTTCTCCCCCTCGTGCATGAATCGTGCACCCCACGTAGCCAACAAATTAAAGGAGAGAAATGAGAACCCTAAAGATGGCTCGAATTCCTCACAAACAACACATTTTTCTTCTGTTCGTCATGGTCTCGATTGCATGCGTCTCAGCGTTTGGACCCAAGACGCAGGAGCTGATCGACACCATTTGCCGCAAGATGGAGGACTACGGGTTCTGCAACAAATGCTTCTCCGAACACATATTCACCCCGGAGGCCGACATGCATGGCCTGGCTCAAATAGCCATCGCGCAGAGCCTGAGCAACGCATCCACCACGGTGGTTTTCGCCAAGCAAACCATGCGCGCCGTGACCGACCAAGAACCGGTGGATTATCTCAAGCTCTGCATCATTGGGTACCTGAAGATTTTGGATATGATAGAGAACGCGGACAGGATCTTTGGGGACAACAACTACAACGCCGTGTTGACCGACTTCCTGAACTCGGCGAAGGTGCTAGCGACTGAGTGCGGGCAGTACAGCAACAGCCATGGGATCGGAAATCCTCTTTACGAGAATAACAGAGAGGAGAGGATTCTTGTCACCATGACTGCTGCGATTGCATACAGTCTGCTTCATTGAAGAAAAATAGTGTTTTCGAGCGATTGAGTGCTTCCTTTTCGGTTCTTTTCTTTTTCGTTGTTCTTTTCGCTTCTTATGAAGTTTGGTGTTGTTCAAATAAGGCTGGCTATCAAATCGCGCCGTGATTGGGACTTAAGGAAATGAAATTAGTAACTTTTAATTTGCATGCATGCAAATGAGGTGGTGAAGTTCCTCAAGGATGGCCTGCTTTCGCAGTTAACGTGTTGCAGTTCTTTTCGCTTCCGGAAAAGAGAGAGACAGATTGATTGGCTATTCCAGCTGAGAATTGACAATACGACAAATTCACTCCATACAAGTTGACTTGATAAGAACAACTTCAGTTCTATTGTCACGGTGTAAAATCAATTATTAATACCACGAAAAATATCAAACTGATACACTTATAATAATTTTACCCTAAACTAATTTTTGATTACGAAAAATTTAAATCGGTATACCTATGATAAATTTACCCCTAATTTTTTTACCACCAAA